CTGGCGAAAGGGGAGGGCCCAGCAGCGGCTTGCTGGCGGCAGTGGGCCTCATCCCTGTAAGGAGACAAGTGATGCTCCTCCGAGTCCTCAAAATGCATGCCAGCAGGCCCAGACAGGTGATGCAGTGCTCGTGCAGGTCCGGCGGATCGATGGGGCCCGCGCAAATTCGGCAGAAGGTAGCCATCGGATGCAGTGAAGAAGCGGTCTTATCTTCAGGTGCGTCTTCGACAGTGGCAGAGTGAGGAAGAAGATTCTGAGGCAATTGTCGCTCTTCTCATCACATTATATACTGCCCGCATGTTTGTTAGTATTTGCATGTAATTTGCATAATTAACGACAATTGGCCTGTTTATTGTACTGGTATTATCCTAAAAGGTTTCAGGATTTCAGAGAAGGGGAGGAGATCCCACTGCGATTAACCCATGGTTAATCTGTGGTTACCATGGTTTTAACTATATTAACCATGTACTTGTTTGTTTGTAGTAAAACCTTGGTTAATTTTCATAAGGGACATTCATGCAACTATGAATACAGTATTTCTTCAGTAATCCATCAGATGTTTTCACTGGTAAGCACAAGCAGGCGCTGTTCGTTACCATGGTAACCACTCTGCTTCTGCATTACACACCTTCTCATGCGCTTGGAAAAGTATGGAAGACATACTGATAATTTCAGTATGGCATCTACACTGTAAAAAAAAATCGGTGACATTTACGGTAAAATACCGGCAGCTGTGGTTGCCAGAACTTCAAGAAGAAACGTTATTTCAACAAAAACAAAAACTTCAAATATGAAGTGTCATGCAGGAAATTCTGGGAGTGTCAATTTACAGTTTGTCACTGTAAATTATACAATGACTTTCTTTTTCACTTCCAAAAACCATAGTTTTAACAGTATTTTACTGTAAAATTACATTAAATGTAATAACATTTATTCACCGAATATAGTATGGAAACTTACTGTTAACCAGTTAAAAGGTTTTTACTGTAGCATTTTTACAGTCTTTTACTGTTAAAATCACAATCATTTTTTACAGTGTGGCTCCCTTCTGGTCCGCTGCTTGGCACATGCATAGAAGTAATAAAAGGTTTCTCACTAATACGAGAGAAGCAAGTCATTATTATGATAAAGTTTCTCATTATTATTAGATATTTAGTCATTAATATGAGAACGTTTCTAATTATTATGACTTACATAATCATATTTTTTACTCGACTGTCGCGGATACGGGCCTCCATACAATAGCCCTCAGACACTCTAGGTCACTTGAACAATAAGCCCCGTCCACTAATTAACATAGAATTTGCATACAGGTTGACTTTGAAAATGAAAACAAAAATGAAAACTGTGAAATAAGAGACAATAAAACGAAAACTAAACTTTACATTTTAATTTGAATTGTGTCACTATTATTGCATGAGCATTAATAAAAAGCTTTTTAAAAACTATTTGCATTTTCTTTTTCATGTTTGCCTTTTGATTTTAAGATTGGCAGGGACAATGCATTGTCACAGTGAAAATTAAAATGGTAATTAAATCATTTCATTTCATTTTCAGTTTTGGCACTTATTTTGTATAACATTTTCTATAATGAAATTGTTAATCTGGTTTTCATTTTCATTTTTATAATTGAATTGATTTATTTAAAATTGGCAGAAAATACCTTCCATAGTCCATCTCTGGCTGTAATTATTAAATGACAAGATGGCACTAGAACACTTTATTGTGAAAAAGATTAATCTATCTATCTATCTACATTTCATTTCACACCTATTTAGTAAATGGGTGGTGAAAAAAAAAAATAAATAAATACAATTTACAAGTGATGGCCAGGGGTTATATTTCAGTTATATAGTCAGTTAATACTCTGGTGTGAAAAAACCTGATGTCAGATCCTGTGGCGAGAGGGCTGCAGCTCCATTCCCCACATTTGCTCCTGTACAGCAGCGGTAGGGGACTGCTGTTAGCTCGGCAAAACGCCTCAAAGTCATCAGCAAGATCCTTGTGCAAAATCACGTTAGCCTGTTGATATCCTGTCAGTAAACATACAGTAATATTCTCTGTGATATCCTATAAAACTGCTTAATTTTCTTTTGCGTGATTTCTGAATGCTTGAGACTATAAAATCAATCAGACAACTGTATTAATAAAATCATAGCCATAATTGTCTATTTATAATCTCTGTGAGATCCTGCAGTTGTCTCCATGGCATGCTTGCAGACTTAAAATCCTTAATGTTTTGCAGATTAAGGGTATACAATTTGGTATGTAAAAAACGTCCTGAATAGTATCAAAATTTTTTATCCAATCCTAGTCTTCAAGGGTCCCATAAAAAGATTCTACTGGAACAATGAACTTAAGTTTCAGCTTTCAGTTTATACTGAACGTCTTCCGCGTACCACAGTCAGTGGAAGTGAGAGAAAAGTGTTTATTACGTTTGAAATATGGATATTTATCTTACAAAAATGCATGGATTCGCTAAAGGAGGTCTTTATTCACACCCCGGAGCCGCATGAGGGACGTTTTACTACGGATGCGCGTGCTTTATTTCACGTCTTCTGACCTGTTGACAACCGAACACCCGCTTACCCCCATTGAAAGGCTTGGAGGGGCCAGGACAATTTTTAATCTAACTCCGATTGGATTCGTCTGAAAGAAGAAAGTCACATACACCTAGGATGCTTTGAGGGTGAGTAAAACACAGGCTATTTTTCATTTTTGGGTGAACTAACCCTTTAATTCAAATATCCACTTAATCTTTAATTTTTGGCCACCTTTTTGCTATAGATGACACAGCCTCAAAAATTCCTTTAAAAAAAAAAAACACAAAAAAAAAAAACGTGGACATCACAACCCTTACAAAAATTAACCATGGTTTTATCGTAAAACTGCTTCATTTTCTTTTGCGTGATTTCTGAATGCTTGAGACTATAAAATCAATCGGACAACTGTATTAATAAAATCATAGCCGTAACTGTCTAGAGCTTCAATTGTAATTTGTAAATAATACAATTGAATTAGGATTTATTTATTTACTTTTATATTTTATTATTTTGACCCCTATTGTAGGTGTTTTTTTTACTTCCATAATATTTGAGGGAGGGGGCACAACAATACAATCCTGCTTAGGGCACCTATTTGGCCAGCAGTGGCCCTGGCAGAAGGTCAACGACGATTCCATTTTAGAAGGAAACACAAAATGGCCAAAACTAGTTACTGGCTTTATACATGTGGGGGCACTAAAAACTAATTCAATGAACAAATGCAAGACAGACACCCAAGAAACACATTTATAAACAGTATAATTTAATTGTTTTCTCCATACAATACTCGTATGCTTCATAAATTGTTGTTAATATTCTTTTTAGATTATTGCTTTACAGTAAAATGCATTGGCTGGATACATCCATTGCTTGCAAGACAATACATTCAAGTTACACACCAATGTCTTAAGCTGAAAATCATTCAATCTGTACCTCACAGAAGGTTTATGGCGATCCTCTCACAGTGCAGCAGGTCACTCGTGGAGCAGTTGGGCATGTATCTGTGCATGTGTGTTTAATAAATCAAGATCCCGCATGAGAAGTTCTCATAGCCTACTTTTGTGCATATTCACGCGTGACAGAGTCATTTGAAGCGTTTTCCTTTAAGTTCTCGCCCTCTTAAGAGGCATACAATGGAGAGTGCTATACAACTGGCAACAAAGACATCCCGTCTCAAGTGACCCGGTGAAACATTAATCAAACTGCTCCGGAGGTCCGAAGTTTATAAAATACAATTAAATGGCAAAAAAATACTCATCTTAGTTCAAATATAACGATAGCATTTACATCAAGCATGGCACAAATTATCAGCAACAAAGTCAACAGTTAAGGATAGTGTGCTTACAAATAGGCCTAGATTCAAATAAAGTAGGCTATATGACTGCCCTGGCAAAGACATTTCCCAAAACAACCAGGGAGAAACTAACAAAGAATAGAAATTGGCAGCAAAGAATTAATTTAATGCTCAAAATAAATAAATAAATAACTAGGCTATATAACGTGGGAACCAGCATAGGAAGAAGCTTTCGAAGCTCTTCCAACAGTGTGCGTATGGTGTATCAATGTCATCTGAATAATGTAATCATACAGCTCACCACTGAGAAACACCACAGAACAAAGAGCGAAGGAAAAAGTATCACCACACGACACCACAGTCATTCCGCACAGCACATCGCCACAATAAACTAAAGTCGACATTCTACAGAATGGCAATTATGTGATGTGAGATTAGATGACAGAATCTGCATGCATGCGTTACAGCGGTGGGCGACTTCAGCAGCTTTCACAAACATGGCTCATCTATGAAAATATAATCCCCGTATTCAGCCCTCACCGACTGAGATTGCATATATCATAAATAATGTGTACATCAAATACTGCAACACCGGTCTTTTTGCACAGACAACAGCGACACCACCTCCTAGCACTTAACAACAACAGGTTCTACGACTGACAAAAGACACGTTCCTCTACGCTCAAGTTCAGATCTCCTGAGCCCACTATAGCAGCTGAGTGAACGGGGGTCCTGTAGCTGCCATTTATGGGTGAATCCCAGGAAACAAGTTCAGGTCATATTTTACCACAAAACAAAGAAATAAGATGTTATGTTATGCTTAAAGAAAATACAGTCTATGAGGACCATTACATTTTTTTTTTTTTTTGTATTGTGACATCACGGCAAACGCATTTTCAACCTCCAACAACATTACCGTAATTTTCATTACTGCAATGAAAAAAAAGAAAAAATCTCATTACCGTAACGCAAAAAAATACAAATTTTCATTACTGCCAAAAAAAATTCACCACAATGCAAAATAAAAATCTCATTACAATAATACAATCAAAACATTTCCTTTACCACGTAACAAAAACCTCATTCCTATTACTAAAATGCAAAATAAATAAAATAAAAAATCATTACCATAACACAAAAAAGCATTTAAATTACATCTAAATTATTTTAAGCATTTATAAATCAGAGTAAATAATTTTAAGAATTTATAAATCGGAGTAATATTAATATGGCAATTTCTTTTAATTTATGCTAATTTAAATATATGTTATTACAGTGTGCACATATTACAGTATCAAGTCCACATGCATTACAGCGAAGAGAATCCAGGGTTGAAAATGTGCTTAACTTTCAAGAAAATAAATGTTGCAATGCAGACAAATCTTAAAAGGTTCTAAAACTTAACTTCCTTGCACAATACAATTTATTTTTCTTTTGATTTTGGGATAAAATATGACCTGGGCACATTTTCTTGAGATTCATCCTTGTAGGGACATTGATGTGAGCTCACAAATCTTTTGCCCTGTTTTAAAAATGGCTTCTTTGTGTCAGATCATGCATTACAGACAAACGGTAATAAAGATCCAGAGAGGGAGGTTAGGGTGCATTGGAAATAAAGAAAAAGTGGCCGCTTCGGTCACGTATGTAAATTCACCCTCACCTCCCATCATCTGTAAGGAAGCACTGGTTCAGACAGGATCAGTGAGGTTATATTTACATAGAAACAAAAAAACGCATTGATTTGTAGCATGTTTGCAAAATCCAGGATCTTTGTTTGCGATATCATCAGTATGTGTATGAAATATCAAAGCAGCCACAGTTGTCAGTCTCATTGTCCATATTGCAAAACAAGCAAAGAGCGGTCCTGAGGGTCGTCTGCTCTGGTCTGAATGAGAGGTGAGGAGCAGCTTTTGATGTGTGCTTTACGATTGGTTCCATTCACTGGTTAATGCAGGTCTGGAATAATAAAGGGGAAACCGAAACGTGTCTAATATTAGAGCTTCTGTTTCCGTGTGTCAGAAGCTGGTCATCTCGCTGACCTCTCAGATGGGCACCTGCCGGAAGCTCTCAGCAGGAAATATATCGTCCAGCTCATGAGGATTTCATAACAGCTCGCCCCCTGCCGCATGATCCATACAGAAAATGCTTCACATCTGCTGTGCATCTTTTTTCACCATTTTTTTTTCTGTGTAACAAGCTGCGAGAATCAATTTCTTGCCTGAAGGCAGTCATTCCATGTCACTTTCATCTTTTTATTGCGCCACATCAAGGACATACTTTCATTTTTCCATACCGGAAGAAATAAATTAATATGATATAGATGTTTTATGCCACATATAAAGTGCATTATGTTCATGTTCATATCATACGGTGTCTCAAGGGAAGACAGAAATTAGAAGATGTAGATTGCTAATGCATACAGGAATGAGCAGCATTCTTTGTCATTGCTATGTGTGTGCAGTTTGTGATGCAAGTGTACAGTTTTAATCCTTCTGCTCTGAACAAAACATTTACGGGCTGCATTATGATTGTCCAAGGTTCAGAAGTGGAAGAATATCCAGTTATAAAGAGAGCTGCCAAGGAGAATTTCATTTCTTGGAATTGATGGAGAAAGTTGTGAGTCAACAGTCTTCTGGGAAATGCAGTTCTTCCATCTGAGCCACAGTGGTGCAAATGTGCAGCGTTAGAGAGTGGTTTTCTTCAACAGTAGCAACTCAGTAGGGAGATTAAACAGAGGAAACAGCAGAATCATTGGTGGTTTTGGTTGCAGGTTTATCCCGGAGGTATTTTGGTTCAAAGCCCATGGAAATCTTCTAGCTTAGACACCCTCTTGGCACATGGGCAGGTTGACAAAAGTGAAGACATTGTATTCGATCAAGATGGAAAAGCAGAGGAAGATGGCATACAGAATAAGCACGTACACGCCCAACTTAAAGTCTAACCTCCACTTGTTCACATGGATCCCCAGCACCTGAAGGTGGACAAACAAAATTATTCGTAAACAGCCAGGGAAAGCAATCTTCTGTATGGACACCTAAATAATGTCATGCTGGAGCAGAAAAGAGCTCTTTCTTATAGCATTAAGTAGGAATGGAAAAAATGTCCTACCCCAGTTTATTGTGATCTTCATTTAAATATGGATTTTCCTAAATATGGATTCGAACCGAAGATCGATCATATTCTCTATACTTATATTCAGTGGCTGTTTAAAAATGTATTTGTAAAGAGCTTCCAATCCTGGACACGCTGCTGTGTTCTACTCAGTCTACTCAACTGCATAGTTTGGACTAGAGGTCAACCAATATGTAAGGGATAATGCACGGCTAGCTTTGCATTAAACGATTTTAATGCACAACGTGGAGGCCAAGAACCCCCCGACACTGTTCATGATGTTTGAAGCGCAATATTTAACCAGAAGGGTAAAAATGACGGTTATTTTCATCAGTTACGGCTCGTTAGATCTAGCATTCTGCACACTTCAAATCAGACCGAAAGAGAGAGATGACAGTTGTGTGAATTGCCTGCATCTGTGCGTCTCTCTCTACAAACAATGAAGCCGTTTAGTTACTTCAAATACAGCGATTTTACCCCCTTCTTGCTGAGAAATATAATGTAGCGATCTAGTATCTAGGGTGTTTTATTAATAAAAGTCGCGGGGCAGTGCTGACAATAAGTTTCTCGTTGTGCGCAGCGCGATCTGTGATCTCCGACCTCTCTCCCTCTCACGGTGTTTATGTGCGAGTGATGTGTGTGTGTGTTTGTGTGCATCAATTAAAGCAGCCGATTAATATAGAACAGTGATTAAACTGACTTGGAACTACCTGTGCATTGAGAGAGAATTTATACTATTAAATGCAAGCAAAATATAACTGAATCAACTCTATATACCCAGCTATAGAATTTTTGTAGAAGATTTGTCTTCAGTAGAATTAGAGCATCTAACTAAAACTAAAAAGGGGTGTCCACATATAATATATTTGACCATGCATTGTATTTCTAAAGTGAATTGTCCTTAACATATACTCACAGTTAAAGCCACCGAACCCAGCAGCAGAACAACGGAGTAAATCAGTCCTTTACTGTTGATTTTAATCTAAATAGGACAAAAAAAAAAAGGTAATTTTACGGTCTTTGTGGAATTGTGTGTGCGTGCATGTTTGAGGAGTGACAAAGACAGATACCACAGAGCCGTAGTTGACAGCCATTGTCTGGATGCCCCAGGGAACGCCAAGTCCAACCAGGATATCAAAGACGTTACTGCCAATCGTGTTGGAGACAGCCATGTCCCCCAGGCCTGAGCACACAGACACAAAGCCAAAGCTGGAAAGTCAGCTCAACATGGATGAAAGATAAGCGAAGGCAGAAAAAACAAGACAATTAAACGAAGGAGAGCTCTACCTTGCCGTGCGACAATGAGACTCGCTATGCAGTCGGGAACACTGGTGCCTGCAGCCAGGAAAGTTATACCCATAATGACATCTGGGATTCCAAGTGTGTATCCAACAATTGTGACCTGCACACAGCAACCCACATGAATGAGCCTCAATTAAATGCTTATAGGAATAGTGATGTAACATGCCTGTAAGAAGAATAACCTAAAATATGTTAAAAATGCAAATAAACAGTGTCAAAACAAAGACTATTTCAAACTGGTGTCCAAGGACCCCAAGGGGCTGCAAGGGGTCTAAGAAAACTTGAGGAAAAAATAAAAAGATTTTATCAAATTTACTACGGCAGTCACAGTTAAGATTTTAAATGTTGCATTAACACACAGGGTTTCTGCAGAATTTTTAAGCTCAAATTTAAGTCCTTTTTAAGACCTGCACAAATAAAATTAATACCATATGAGCAGGGTATGGCAATGTATACAGTACCATATTAAACTGTAAAATTACTGTAAAATAATAATTTACAGTTCAGATACAAGTTTTCACAAAAACAAAACGTTTTATAAAATGATAAACTTTACATTTCAGCCTTTAAACAATTTTTAAGAAAATGGATGAGTCAAAAGTATTAATTATTATTAGTGGGTATTATTAGTTTGGCATTTTTTAAATATCGGCATCGGCCGATAAGTTTTCCTGCTTGGCCGCTGCGTTCTAGGCGGGACTTTTATTTAGACGGCGCGACGGACTTTTATTTTGACAGCGCTGAGAACGGCAGCGCCTGAGCGCACAGTGCTCACATTCTCCCTCTTGTTCGCTGTTGTCGTTCAGTTCTGTCTAATATGGATTATCTAATATGTCTGTCTAATAATCAGATAGACAAAGGAACAAAGGAATTAAACAAAGGAATTAAAATGTATACAAAAAGTATTATAAAGATTGCTTTTATATTATTAGTATTATATATTATATTATATTATATTATATTATTACTTTCTTGTTTGCCGTCAGCATTCAGTAAATACGCATTTATATCATTGAAACAAATATTTGAATGTCTAATGAACATCTAATTTCAAAAACCTTGCAAACTTAGTCGGATCCAGTTGTGAAATCTTGTGAAGTGTGCATTTGTATCCTGCATGATCGCGTGTTCTGTGTGACGGTCGATCTGTGAGAATTGAATGTGGACAGGAGGAGAGTTCAGCTTCACTGGAGACGTGCGATCGACAAACTTTAAACTCATCGTGGTGTTGCTCAGAGACGCAAAACAGTGCTGTGGCTGTGTTTGGAATGATATTTGTTGGAGAAAGAGCAAAAAACGTAAGTTTTTTAATATTACCTTCCTGTTTATTGAACTGTTGTATAAAATCAATATCACATTTGTAATCATGCTGACTTTTGGAGAAAAAAACAGCACTCGTCGTGTGATATTAACTATATGAAATGATATAAATATATGAATTATGTGATAATTCGAAATGAATTTTAATAGACTGATTAATGCAGTGAAAGAACACACTCTAAATGCACGCACTAGTCTAACCTGGTAGACTTCATCTAATGCAGGGATCCTCAAATCTGGCCCACAAGTAGTGGTCGACCGATATGGGTTTTTTGACAGCCGATGCCGATATCTTGTTAAGCAGGGTGGCTGATGGCCGATATAATATTAAAACAACAATTACGATATTATCGCAGACCACACATATCGCACACCCCTATACTGTTTCGATTTTTACAATGCATTGTCTTCTTATCGATCCACCAGTTCACATTTAAAGCGCTGTGTGTTTGCAGGGTAAAAACATGGGTCGATTTTTGCATTGGTCTGAACTCTGAACAAAACAACAGTTTTACTGAAAATGCTCATTCATTCTCTGACAGCAGGTGGAGCGTTTGGTAGAAATATAACGGTTTCCCCGGTAAGGGCAGAACAGCAGCGCAGCACCGGACTTTGAACATGCAGCGCTCATGTTTATTTCATGAAATCATAGCCTTTTGAAGTTTAATCATCACATTGAGCCATATCACAATTCTGGTCTTTCCATCCCCAAATTTAAGACCTCTAGAAAAAATAATTAAGACTTTCTTGTACAATTTAAGACATTTTAAGACCTTAAATTTGATACAACTAAATTTAAGACTTAAGACTTTAAGACCCGCAGAAGCCCTAACACAATTCATTAATAATTATTACATTTAAATTGAATAATGCAGGAAAAAAGACATAAAAATGCTTACATACACATAGAAACTGAAACTCACCATCCACACCATGATGTAGGAGAAGATGGCGATCCACAGCGTAGAGAGGAAGAAGGACAGCATGAAGCAGCGCTCCCACCGTGGCTTTGCACAGTTGGGTATGGTAAAGTACAGCAACACCAAAATGGGCCAGGAAATGAAAAACTTCACTTTATCCATAGCACCCCCTACAGTCACATGGTACAGTAGGTCACCAATTAAGCCTCCACCAAAAAAAGCTTCTCTTAACAGCATTAATTTTACCATCCAATCCTTGTATTTATGGTGACTTAGAAGTTTACTGGGTGGGCAGTACAGCGCATAACTCATGAAAACACATGAGAAATGCCCATGCAATGCATAATAAGGCACTCTAAACACAGGTAGTGAATAATAAAAAGTTATAATCTCAACAAAAGAAATCTATAACAAAAGAGATCGTTTATCATGTGATTTTCTCACAATTAGGGATGTTCATTTCGGTTATTTTTCCTAACCGACAACCGACGCTCATTAACCGATTGTTAACAGTTAACCGACAAGATTATTTTAAATTAGAATTGGATTAAATTAGAACAGATAAGTGTCTGGGACCCGTTAAAAATACTAACATTTGTTTCCTGGGGATTAATTCTACATGCGCAAAAAGCAGCAAACAACAGAACATGAGGATTCACATGGTCATCATATCACATCACGCACCTGCAGCGCACCGCACCTGTGCAACAAGTAGCCTAGTATGCAGAGTTTCGGTTCATTTTTGTGCTGCGCGAACGGAAACCGACGGCAGAAAGCGGGATCCTATTTTTCTTTAGGCTTATTTTACAAAAGCACAAAGATTTGTTTTTATTGTGAATGTACACAAATAAAGGCAAACCTTTTACAATTCCGATTATCTTTATGACTAAAAGGAGTAGTTTCTTCCACTGTTAGAAGGAAAAAATTCAAGTGATTGCGCCGGCGCCGCATGCGTGCACAGTTAAGCATTGCTACCTTGACAATGCAGCCCGTTCATTATCATAATAAAATACAGTCAGTCAAACATATGGAAAAAAAAACTATGTAGTAAAAAAAATATATGTAGTAAAATCTGTGCCATTAAGTGTTATCACAGTACCGCCATGATGTTATGCAAAACATTTTGTTTAACGTGGATATTGGAACGCGAGTGAAGTATAGGCTACATAATAAATAATATTTTGGCATTCAAATACATCGCGAATACGGAAACATTTGATTTTGTGTCGAATGAGAGACACAACGTTGGTTTCAGTTTCGTTTTAACCTAAATTAATTTGTTTTGGCTTGTCGTTTAGCTATAGCTTCTTATATTTTTAATTCTTGTTCTTTTCTAAATACTGTTAATTGAAAGGCTTTGTTGTGGAGTGAGGGGAACTAAAATAGCCTAGCTATCTTTACAGTGTTTATTATAATGTTTGTAAACATTTCGTGTCGGCATTAGGCCTATTTCTGAATGAAATAATAAAATTGAAAGGATTTGTTGTGGAGTGAGGGTAACTAAAATAGTCTAGCTATGTTTACAGTGTTTATTATAATGTTTGTAAACATTTCGCATCATTAGGCCTAGGCCTATTTCTGAATGAAATAATAAAATGCAACTTATACCCGACTTATGTTTTTCCCCCCTAAAAAACAAATTTTTTTATACACGTAGCGTATTTTAACCATGCAGCAAACCTTTTTAAATATTTTGATACATTACTGAAAAAATAATTAAATTACTTTTTAAACCGTTTAACTGATTGTATTAATCGGTCAAAATTCTTACGGTCGGTTAACCGGTTAAAATGAACATCCCTACACACAATAGTTTACTCTGACTGAAAAATGCATTGCGCTCACACTCACTGTGTTCTTACAGTACCAAGCACATTTACACACAAAAAAATAATAATTCTGTGAATGCGATTTCACTGTTGGCAGAAATTATTACACGCATAACTGAAGACAAAAACAGATTAACATGGAAGTTCATTTCCTTTTTAAAAATATCTAACTTCCATGACTTTTCCAGATCTAGAAATCCCAATTTTAAAATACCCTGACATTTCCAGGGACCTTGCTGGTTAGGACACAGCATAAGAACTATGTGAATAGGTACCGTATACTATGATTTCAGATGCCACCGATGTCACAACAGAGGTTGAAGAGCCAAAGTGTTAATGTGTGAGAAAGTGAAACCTCCTCACCAGGCAAGATGAAGGGAGATGACATCTCACTCTCTGGCTCCTCAGTGAGTTTGTCCTCCACTACGTTGCCATTTTCCATGGTGTCAGCTTTCTTATCAGCCACCAGCACCGCATCCACCCCATTGGCCGTCTTCCCCAGCTGCTGCTGCTGCATGTATAAGGGGCACAGAGCAAAAACTGCTTCATAATTCACTCTTCACTGTCCATTTCCTCATAAACCCATGCTTTTCAATTAAGCTAATTTGAATTTGTCTCCAGTAGTATGATGCTTAGGTGTTAGAATTAACATGAAAGGGAGTAAATCCATTTCTGGGTATATTATCCCTTAAAATGTTATACTGACTAGACTTGACAACCTCTTTTCTTTCTTAACTAGCTGACATGTCTCCATCAAATTCCTCAGCAGTCTTTGTAGCAGGGGGTTTGAATTTCTAACACAATTCTTTGAATGCTAGCATGTGGATATTTATAGAAACAGTTTAATCAGCCTCACACCCAGAACTGGGCTACCTGATGTGAGAACTCCACAGTGCCGAGTTAGCCAACAAAGACCGGCCCATAAACTCTTCTGAACTCTGGCTTATAATCCAGTCTCTGGGTTCCCAGTTTTAAATATGCTCTATTATAAACCGGATAGTGCAGACGTGGAATTCTGAATGGATGAACCGCATTTGAAGAGCTTGTAAAATAGCTGAGCACATCTGCAACTCTAATCTGTTAAATTTAGCGTTCACAACCTATTTAACTTTTGTATTGTGACATTTTCCAAGCGAAAGATGATGTTCGAAAAAGGAACAAAACGTAAGATGGGGATTCAAATTTTCAAATGGAACTCAGCGGGGTTCAAAACAACACCAAACTCAATTGATTTTCATTGTATGGACCAAAAAATAAATAAAATATTACTGTTCACTCAGCTGGTGTATTTTCTTACCTCATTGATGATAAGTCGGCTTGCCATGCGCAGACGTGTCTTGGGCCCGAAGTGGTTGGTGATCATGACCCTAAGGCCGGCCTCGGGGAACCGATAATGTGGAGGGCTTGAATTTATCATCTCGTCCACCATCACAACAGAGCCCCTAGTGTACTCTTTACTGGGCTTTACTGCAGACACAGAGGAAAAATTGTTTGTAAGTGCACCTATACATTGTACTCATGCTCAGTACACACAGCATGTACAGTATTTGTTCATAAAACACACACACATAACTGTCAAACCTGCCCTAAGAGACCAAAAATAAATAAATTCGCACAACTGCGCACAGAAACCAGCAGGATCGTAAACACGCACACTCAAAAGAAAAAGGATGTCACAATTTTCAATCTAAAGTCCTGTTTGTCAGTGAGAGACTGATTCCTGCTGGGATAGACTGTAGGCCCACCTCTGAGCGCCTCAGGATACTGTCAGAAACCATCGACACACAGAAAGCTGACATGAAATCAAATCCTCAACCATCCCGCAGATTACTGCTGGACACCACAGGAAGAGCTCTACTGCCAATACACTATCAACTACATATAGACAAACACACTGACCAAAGACATTCCTGATATTAGAGGAAAATTCTCAGTTAAATGCAACTTGTAGGTAAAATAAGTGATTTCTGTGCCTCAAGTGCTAATACATGGAAAAATGCAAACCTTATCATTCAGAGACAATGACAGATACCATTTTGTAAATGAGTGGAAGGATGTATCACTGGTACTGGGAGTAAGACATGAACACACACACACACACACACACACACAGAGAGAGAGAGAGAGAGCACTGCAGAATGAGACAGGAGCCAGGGCAGATTTAGTAAGGCTAAGCAGACAGGCTTCAGCAGGAGGGGTGACAGAGACCACCACGCAGCACAACAGTTAGAGCTGCACTACAGGACACCACGCTCTGAAACAGAAAGCGCACCGCAGTTATTCAGCAAGGAAGCAAAGTGTCAGCCTCTCATAAGAGATGTCAGATGGCTACGCTTTCAGTAAGTGCTGTTGGCGTAGGCTTTACAAACAGCAGAAATACAGACAGTAGGGTTTAATTAATTTAGAGAACAAAATCGGACTTTGTTGCAAGCAGCAGAGGGTTAGTCGCTAGCCCATGAGGAAGCCTGTCTAGTTACCCATACCTGGTCTGAGTAATGGCCATGATGGATCATCCCATAACGAATCATATTCATTACCATGCTCCATCTCGCACATGACCGGATTACCATTGGCGACTCCCTTGTCTTCCTTCCCCGAAAAGTAGTTCTGGATGCTAGTGTTAAACCTAAAAAAGAAAAAAAAAAACAATTTAAACAAACTAAACACAAAATTGTGAAATTTTTCTCAAGGTCAATAGTCTACTGTCAATTGTATAGTGATATAAGTTGGTCGACATGACAAATGACCGACTTGAACAAAATCTGTGTGAGGAAATCGTTTGCTCACCACACAAAGTTCCCAGTCGTGTGAAATCCTATTGAAATGACTGGATTTTGTCATGAAAATTTGCTGAACAGCGGTAACTGTAACCACACCTTAATTCAGCTCATTGAAGTAACATTTGGTTCTATGTTGACATTTTAACGAAATTTCAGTAGTTATTATACTGTAGTGAAACCAGCAAAAATTTAATATTCAATTCCAATTTCAATACCACACCAATAAGCATTTTGCTAACACAAAAACGTAAATATTAATGCAAAAAATATTATTTAAAAATACTTAGCCTGAATGGTTTCATTTGAAAGAATCAGATGTTTAAATAAATATGCAAAATGAATGGGGACTCACTTCATGATGATAATGTAGCCAACATACATGACAATCAGTATCAGACTCTCCCACCTGCAGAGACAGAGGAGGAGGAAGACAATCAGGTGTCTGCCTTCAACCAATCAGAACAAAGTATACTCAGACAGAAGTTCACTTACCACAAAATCTTTTCATCATAAATAAACTGAAAAAAAAAAAAAGTTCAGAGTCTGTGTAAATATTTATTGAGTGCCAGCAGATTTTCAGTGCATGTCTTTACTACATGCTATGTGTATAGAGCTTATCAGTGACAACCCAGTACTTTTTCATGCATTTCCTTCACAGATATTAAAAAAGGTGTTTAATAAAGACTTGAACCAAACCAACGAGGCCCAACATGAACAAACTTTGATTTAGCTTTTGTTGTTGCTGTTGTTTTTAAAAGAGAGAGAGACGAAGATACAAGTATTTGTCTTTATATCTGTGTACTTAAGTCTATTATACGAGTACTGCAAATCTGAAACTACAATACAAAATAAAGCAATACAGTAATCGATTAAAAAAATATTCCATATTTGAAGCTTATTGCACAATACTTAAGTGGGATCTTTTGACTTAGTTGCTGGAGAGTTCTTGGTGGTTACTGGCCCATTTAGAAATACTCTACTCCATAATGGCAGCAACTTCAAGCATTACTGACTTTTCTTCATAAAAGCTTCTAAACCATTTTTTAACATCCTCAAAGCTCATGGTACATCTGTCTTGATAGGTTTGTTTTTATGTTATTGCTAATTATCAGTTACTTTGTAGAGAAAGTTAATGGGACTTTTACTTTCAGAACCTTCTCTATTTTGCCAATTAATTACCAGAGCTCATTAGATTAATGACACTTACTGCAATAAGGGCAACCACAGATAAAATGTAGTAGATTGAGTCTCTGAACACGGAAAACTTGGTGAGAAAAACAACCTAGTGAGAAAACAGAAGAGCTTTGTAAACAGACGTCAACAAAAGCAACTATTTTTTTTCTTTGTTAAATTTATCATGTCTACTGTACCCTCAAGTTATGCCATAAGCTACAACAAAAAAGGTTTTATTTCTCAAAAGACAAAAATATCACAGCAATGTGCTTTTAAAAAGGTCATTCTTGAACCTCATAACAGTAACCAAAGTATTTGCCTGTAAATCTTGTATTTAAAGTGGTAGAATTTTAACATTGGATTTGAAATGGAATATTTAAAAAATAAACCATTGTTTGAAATCAGAGTAAAAGGGGCAAGCCTGAAGAGTAATTTCCACATTGCAATGCCCAGATGAAAACATGAAAAGGTCAAGAGTGGCAGGCAGCTTCAAAGGAGGCAAGCTGTAATATAGAGCAGATATATAGAGTTTCTCACCTGCCCCGCAAATATCCCACACACACCGATGATGCACAGGATGTTGAACACGGCTGAGCCTACTATGGTACCCACCCCCACGTCTCCATGTGTTATGAACACACCTGCAAAACAAAGCAAGAGGGTTCTGATCCACAGCATCTGTTAACACGACTAATGCATATACAAGCACCTGTATGTGTGGCTTACCAATTATAGAGGCAAACAGCTCGGGGGCGGAGCTTCCAGCTGCCATGAAGGTCGCTCCTGCTACATCTTCACTCATGTGCAGTTTCTGATGGATGGGATTAGCATACAGAATCACACACAGGATGTGCAGAGGCAATAATTAAAAGGTCTAAATAGATCCCGGAGATGTGCAAAACTGTAAGTGGATTATATGAATGACTAGCAGCTCTTAAAGGAACAGTTCACAATGATTTTCGTCATTACTTTTTTACACTATGAACTGGAAAAGAGCAGCATGAAGATAATGGTTTTATATTTTAATATTTTTCTATTTATTGCCGTGATAGCAAAGTTGAATTTTTTAGTATCAATACTCCAGTCTTCAGTGTCACATGATCCTTCAGAAATCATTCTATATGCTAATTTGCTCCTCCAGTAAAATTGAAATTTTTGCTGCTCAAATATTTTTTTATTTGCTGCTCAAATATTTTTTTTATTTGCTACTCAAATATTTTTTCATTTATTTGCTGCTCAAATAAAATTATTACTATCAGTTGAAAACAGTTTTTGTGTAAAAAAATTTTAATAGATTAATTTGATGGATTTTTTTGTAACATGTCAGTCTTTACTATCATTTTTTATTAATGTAATGCATTCTTGTTAAATGAAATTCATTAAATAGTAAACAAAACAAAACAAAAAAAAATTACTGACTCCAAACATTTGAATGATAGTTTAGTTTTTTGGTCCTTAAAGGAGCCAAAACAGTAACAGTCACTGTCATTACATTTAAAACATCTGCATAAAAATTCTTCAAAATCCCTTTTGTGCTACACAACAAAAATAAAGCAGGTTTCAAACTATATGAAGTAAATAAATTACAATTGACAATGAGTAAATACATTGAGCGAACTATTCAAGAATGCTGTATAATTAGGCTGGTTTAAGAGTCATGTTGCCCAGAAAAGGCTCATTTTTTAATTTGACACTAAATGCGGAGTAACTGACAAATATTCAAAAAAGGTAGATCAGCTGAATAACTATAACCTTTAGTTATGGATTTTAAAGGATTATGCATAATAAGAACACTTCTCGCAGCAGGCGATTTGAAGTCGGACAGTAAATTTGTCTTGAAATTTATTGTAAAAGATGGTGAATTTGTTACAAAGACAGTGCTTTGATGGCTAAAGCACAGCATGCTGTTAGCATGCTAAAACCTTCTCTGAGAAATTGCATCTCTAATTTAATCCCCTTTAAAGCACTGCCTTTTAAAAAATATAAAGCTAAAATAAATAAATAAATAACAAACAAACCACCCTTACCTATACCTAATAGTGTTGCATATTAGTATTACAAGATCTAGTATCCAGCATAACAGGAAGGTGTTGGAAACTCTGGGTTTAGAAGGACAGGATGAAGTGATTCTGGAACTAGAAGTTCATTGTTGCCACTGTACATTTATTCTCACCTCACAGATCTTCTCTAGAGTGGTCACAAAGTAGTCATCACAGACAATAGCAAGGGCCAGAAACATATATAGAGCCTGAAACAGGAAGAAAGACAAGAATGAAATGCACCATAATGGGCTTGATGTGCAGAAATATGTTAAGTTGCATGTCTAAATGGTCTTCTGTTCTATAAGCAGTTGTTGACAGGGTGGTTTCAGCACTGTGAACCTAATGGCGAACTCATAAATGATGACGAGAGCTGACAAACTATTTATAATTGTCATAAAATTCTCAGACAAGCACCATTTATCCTGGATGACAAGGTCAACTGGTGAGCAAGGCTAGATGTTGATTGACGTGCACACACAAAGTTCACCTACCCCAAATATGTGCAGCAGTACAGCTCCTTGCGCACGATGACTGTTGGTGAATATATCCTCAGGGAACTCGTGGATGGCTGCATTGAAAATGAGAAATAAAAAGTCACTTTGGCGCAAGTTGTCATAAAATGATCCAGATAAAAAAGATGGTACACTCCATAAAACCAGATCCACATGAGATTCCAAAGAACGATTGGAATTTGTGGGCAACAGAATATAAATCATGCCCTAGGGACAAGCGACTTCATCATAAAGCAGGAAAAATACATTGTATATGTAGTACACATGGTCACCAGTGCATGGGACGGCATTTTTTATTTCACACAAGGGTACACTCAATTTAGTTATAGGAAAGAAAATTTCAGTATACAGTAGCCTCAGAGAGGCTATTCAGAGGTGCATCCAGTATGGAGCTGTGCTAGTGGGATGTTTCACTCTCTACACCTGGTATCCTTGGCTCTGGGTGGGTTGAACTAGGTTAGAGTAATGTGAATTTCTGCAGCCCGTTTCAATACCAGATTCTAGACAAATACCATGTGTGTAGTGTTCTTCAAACAGCAAAGTTTTTGATGCAACTTCTTCTATGACTGTCAGACAGCAGCTACACATGATCACAAATCCCTCAAGAACAAGAAATCTTAAAGACTCTAAATAAAACAAAAAGACAGTAATAAACGTGCTGTGAAAAAGAAAACGCATTTCTTTATATATATATATATATATATATATATATATATATATATCAAAACAAAAAAAACTAAACTTATTGGGGTAACTTTCCCTATAAAAAATTACTGTGAAATAAATTTATCTTGTGCTTTTGTTTATAATTTAATTTAGCAGTTTGAATAAAATTAAATTAAAGAGTTTATATGGTACTGGGCTCACAAACAAACAAATAAAGCAAAAATAAATAAAAAACCCTGTGCTTTTATTTCAAGTTAAACTAATAAATACTGTAACAAACAAACAAATAAATCGTACACAGGCTTACTTCCCCTATAAAACCCCCACTTGATGTGAAATTGCTCTTATGCTTTTCTTTTGTTCATATTTCAAAGTTAAAATAAAATGTGCTTATATGGTACATGGGCTTGTTAGGGTCATTTGCACTATAACACATGGTCTGTGTTTTCTTACATTGTAAATGCCTCACTGTAACTGTGATTTTTATGTATTTGACAAAAAGTGTAGTGATGAGAAAAATCCTTTTCTGTGATGACTGATATTATGCCACAAATGCTGTTGATAGAGCTTAACTTCATATGTAACTCAGAACATTCCTTTAAATCTGGTTTATATGCCTCCAAGGCCTTCTGTTAGTGCAATCTCACTAAACGTCAAAAGCCCCACAAACACATGGCAGGGTAGGCCACACGTCAGTACATTCTGTCACGGCAGCCCTGTAGGTCAAATAATGTCAGGACCACACTAATGAAGATCACAATATAAATCAACATCATGGCATAATCTATACAGTCACCTTCCCCTCTAAAGCTAATGAGTTTTTTTTGACACTTTCAGGTGGGGACTTTCCACCCCCAAGTCTCCATATTCCAGGCCCTAGATATGGCCCGGGACACTCCTTTAAATGTAAAACTGAGACTTTTCTGCCCATATTACTGTTCTTTAGAGCAAATACTGCTAACGAAAGCATCTGCTGTGTAAAAGCATAAAAAACTACTTAAAAATCTTCTCCTGCCAACTAATTTTTCAATCTGAAGAGCTCATTAAAACAGTCATGGCACTAATAGCTATTCCCGTTAAGAAGCGATCTGTTATAAATGACAGCAATTGTGGCGTTATGTTTTATCATCACAACCACCAGCATCATTTCCATGGCTGTTATCTGAAGGGTTGAGAAAAACGAAGAATCCCAACAGGATTTATCCATCAAGTGGAAGAGAGTTGTTGGTGCCCTGATCACATTTCCCTTCCCACAGCTCGCCCCTCCCATAACACATGAGAAGGAGGAGAGGACAGCCTCAAGGTGTTTGTGACCTAGGCAGCCCTGTAGGTCAAATAATGTCAGGACCACACTAATGAAGCTCACAATATAAATCAACATCATGGCATAATCTATACAGTCACCTTCCCCTCTAAAGCTAATGAGTTTTTTTTGACACTTTCAGGTGGGGACTTTCCACCCCCAAGTCTCCATATTCCAGGCCCTAGATATGGCCCGGGACACTCCTTTAAATGTAAAACTGAGACTTTTCTGCCCATATTACTGTTCTTTAGAGCAAATACTGCTAACGAAAGCATCTGCTGTGTAAAAGCATAAAAAACTACTTAAAAATCTTCTCCTGCCAACTAATTTTTCAATCTGAAGAGCTCATTAAAACAGTCATGGCACTAATAGCTATTCCCGTTAAGAAGCGATCTGTTATAAATGACAGCAATTGTGGCGTTATGTTTTATCATCACAACCACCAGCATCATTTCCATGGCTGTTATCTGAAGGGTTGAGAAAAACGAAGAATCCCAACAGGATTTATCCATCAAGTGGAAGAGAGTTGTTGGTGCCCCGATCACATTTCCCTTCCCACAGCTCGCCCCTCCCATAACACATGAGAAGGAGGAGAGGACAGCCTCAAGGTCATCTCCTGAGAGAGGCCACAGAGCACAAACAGACATACAGAGTGTCATCCACAGACTACCACACACTCAGAAACAAAATACACATACACACACTAGTCTCAAAGAAGCCACATATAAGAACCGAACTGCTTCGCACTACTGATTAGGTTCATTTCACTGGGGCAGATGAAAAAAAATAAATAAATGTTTAAACCTGAAACTTTTTTGCTAAAATAAAGTGGCCTGTGACCACACTGCCTGTGATTGTTGCCAGGTATTGCTAAGCAGTTGCTAGGGTATTCTGGATGGATTTGAAGCCATCAAGGTGGTCCCAAATCAAAGGGTCTGTTCCCTTTCCTAGACATGGCTCAGGTCCCCCTCTCCTTCAGTGCAAGCCTAAATAACTTTTTTCAGCCATTATACCGTTTAGTCCACCAAAACTCATATATAGTATTTCTGATCATTTAAAAAAATAAAAGCACACCTTTCCTCAATAAGCCACATAATTTCAAGTATCATAAAATGTGTGGAACAAAACAGATTACAATTTGAAAATGTTTCAACAATTTGCATTTATTTATTTGGACAATGAAACGGACAACTAAAGTAAATTGGGTCCAAAATACAGTTTTGTATTAATTTAATTAAAAAAAATAAAAAAATACAAATGAATACAGTTTTGGAATGACATAAGGTTGAGTAAATGATAACAGAATTTTAAGGGATACTCTCTCTCATTCATGTCAAAACATTATTTATTTTTTAACATTCTGTGATAATTTTTGTCCATTCATTTACATTCATGCACTTTTATCCAAAGCAATTTAAACTGCTTTCAAGATATACTTTTTTCAGTTGTATTCCTTGGGAATCGAACCTATGACTTTGGGGTTGCTAGCACCATACTATATTCATTAAAAGTCCACGCAACCCAAACTTTCATACATCAAAAACTACAAAAATACACTGTATAAGTAATCCAAATAAGATGAACAAGTCTTTTGAAGAGGCACAGTCATTTTACATGATAAACGGATTTAATTTAGGCTTTCATTTATATATAAATATTAATCAGCAAACATAAAGCTCATCAAATACCGTAAACATGGAAATGCAACCATGTTTGCTAGACACGCAAGAACAAATTAGATTTATGAAAAACATGTTTACATATGTAAATATGATTACATTTTAGCCGATATGCATGATGAAACAATTTTCTGCAGGACGGTACTTCATGTGGTATTCAGCAGGACCTACTGTTTGTTGACACCGGACGTTGTTTTTCTCCAGGTTGATGCACTTGTGCGAGGCATCACAATCTCTTGCAGGTAAATCCATTAAAGTCCTTAGGAGCTCCGGCACACTGCATCAATTATTAATGACGGGACCATTAAAAACAAACTCTCTCTGCCTCTGTGGGCATCATGACAGTATTTTCAGGTGGAGGCTTTGTCGTTGTCTCCAAACAATTGGTGAACAACATACAATACAAGCATGTATGTATGTGCTTTGGGTTTGTATCTGCTGTATGAACAGCGTATAATCTGGGCTACTGTGGAGAAGCATCTCAGGCAGAGTGAGAAAGAAAGAGCTTTGTTGTGTCTTGTCATCTTATGACCTTATCCATCAGTCTGTCCTGATGTGAACACACATGGCAGGATCAGTGCCTAGCAGTTGGATATACTAAGCTAGATGTGTGTGTGGGTGTCAGTGTAGCTTGTTACAATAGCTTCCTGATGCAAAAAAAAAGTGGGATGTGTACAGAATAGCATACTACATACGTGTAAAGTTTACACCCCTATGTATCTATCCCTTAATATATAATGCACTGCCTTATTGAACATCAATGAATGTTTGTACCTTTTGTAACAGTTGTGTCTCAACTGTCCCCAGCGAGAAAAATATAGCCACATATAAATTGCTTGTCACGGAAAAGGAAGTCAAAGGGTATTTAGATGTTATCAAACAGCCTTTTGGATTTGCTATGGTGGCTATCAAACACCACCAAATATAAGAGTTTAGGCCTGTTTACACCAAGAATGATAACTATATTAAGGTCAATACCAATGGACGACAACATTCTTTTTATTATAAATGCATGCTGCAATTATTTCTGCTGCTTTAAATGCTCAAGCTCTTTAATGTCAGGTGGATTTTGACTGGCTGTCAATGTCTCTGTGGACATCATGAAAGTGATCTCTGATGTCTGTGATGGTCTGAACAGAGATATTAACAGCCAGTCATTCAAATGAAAATGTTCACGCATATAACATTTGTCTTAGAGTGAACAGGCCTTCATGCACAACTATCACAAACGATAGTAAGAACCAAGAGGGTGCTAACTTTTGAACTTTGAATTTGGGTGAATTAAGTTATTTTAAACATCACTACTAATTTATTATGCTTTATGATAAATGATTAATTATTTTTAAATGATAAACATCTTACAGGGGGGTGCAAACTTACGCACTCAGCGACAGTGCCATGCAAAAGT